CCAACAATGCCAGAGAGCTTGGTTACTTACGTAACTACTGTGCTGAATGACATGCATGTCCATTTCAGGGCATGTTTCGAGGAGTTGCAGACTGACTACTTGATCTTTTGGTTCCTCCTGGACTTCTTGGCAGATCTCACCTACCTTGGTGACATGGTCTTCAGAACCAGGACCGGTCTGAAGACACACAGATTGTTGTAGACGTTAATGTAAGCACACAAATATAATGGTACAAACATGTACACATTTTGAATGCTTGTTTATGTGATTGCAGGCTACCTGGAGCAGGGTTTGCTGGTGAAGGACGAGCTGAAGTTACGCGAACGGTACATGAAAAGCTTTCAGTTCAAACTGGACCTGGTGTCCATGATTCCCACTGACGTGTTCTACGTTGCCCTTGGTGTCACCTACCCCGAGATCCGCCTCAACAAACTGTTCAGGTTTAACAGGTAAACAAGGGTTGATCACTGCTAACCAGTCTTTGGGCTAAGTAGGAACATATTTTTGAATTCCATGAATTTATGAACAACATTTCTTTACAGTTTAACTAAAAGTTGTTGTGATGTTTAACTCAAAGGTACAAATATGAATCTTTTCCTTTTCTTAAAAGTCAGAGATTTGATGATAAAATGAATAAGACTGATTTATTTTCTAAGGATACTGAATATCCACACATAATGTCACAGAGGTATTGGACTGTCTAACCTTCACTACTGCTCCTATCATTTCAGGATGATGGAGTTCTTCCAGCGCACAGAAACCAGGACGAACTACCCCAACGCTCTCCGTATCTCCAACCTCGTCATGTACATCCTCATCATCATCCACTGGAATGCCTGTCTTTACTACTCTTTTTCCAAAGCCATCGGTGGGGTTGTTGGATTCATTCCTTATCTGGATTTAACCCCTGAGGAAGCCCCGATAAAGGCTGTAACATATTAATCTGTCCTGTCCTTTCAGGTTTCGGTTCTGACAGGTTTGTGTATCCTGACCCGACCGATCCAGAGTTTGGTCGTCTGGTGAGGAAGTATGCCTACAGTATGTACTGGTCCACGTTAACCCTCACCACCATTGGAGAAACACCACCACCTGTAGAGAACTCTGAGTACTTCTTCGTCGTCACAGACTTTCTGGTGGGTCCGGCCTAACTTTAGCTTTAGTATATGACTGTGTAGCATGTGGCTAAAAAAACCCAAGCCTGAGAGTAGACGCGTTGTGGGGGGTTTACCTCAAGAGGTTTGGTTGGTTTTGAAAGCTTAAACAGACAGATGGTAAGATGTTAGGCATAATTTGACAATATTTCTTTCTTTAGATTATAAAATAGAAAAATCTGCATTTGGCTGCTTTCATATTATTTATTTAATACTATATAAAACAACAATAAATAGATGTTTATGGATATCCTGTGCTTTTCTACAGGTGGGTGTGTTGATTTTTGCTACCATTGTCGGTAACGTTGGCTCCATGATCACCAACATGAATGCTGCCAGAGCTGACTTTCAGGCTCGCATTGATGCCATCAAACAGTACATGAGTTTCCGAAAGGTCAGTTAGTCTGTGATTTTTATCATAATGATCCTTTAATAGTATTTGCATCTGAAATAAAATATTTTTTTTACATAAATCTAATTGGAAAATCCCATTTAAGTTGCTTCAGCTTGTACATAACTGCTGCTGCCAGCCCACACAAACCCAGTTTTCCTTTCATGTTGTATCAGACTGATTCAGTATCAGATCTGTTGTTCCGTTGTTGTTATTCTCATCTATTTGTCTTCACTTTTTTGTCTTTTTTTAATGACAAAAATGAGTCTTACTTACCAGAAAACAGATACTGTATCAATGCACCGGATGATCAGTACACCAGTAATGTAGTCCATCAAAGCACTGCTTGAACCCTTCCTCCATACTTCTGTTTCCAACCCAGGTAACAAAAGACCTGGAGAAGCGAGTGATCAAGTGGTTTGACTTCCTGTGGACCAATAAGAAAGCAGTAGATGAGAGGGAAGTGTTGAAATACCTCCCTGACAAACTGAGAGCTGAGATCGCCATCAACGTCCACCTGGACACACTGAAGAAGGTCTTTGCACGCCCCTAAGCACCCCTCATAAATACAACAGAAATGTAAAAAGTCTAAGCATGAGGTCTTCTCCTGTGTGGTGTGGCAGGTCCGTATCTTTGCGGATTGCGAGGCTGGTCTGTTGGTGGAACTGGTGCTAAAACTACAGCCTCAGGTCTACAGTCCTGGAGACTACATCTGTAAGAAGGGTGATATTGGCAGAGAGATGTACATCATCAAGGAGGGAAAACTAGCTGTCGTTGCTGACGACGGTGTCACGCAGTTTGTTGTTCTCAGCGACGGAAGCTACTTTGGCGAGATCAGCATTCTTGCTATCAAAGGTAAGCCTTAGTGCCTTTATTAGCAAGCTAATCCTTTCGGTCACAATGGCAGTGCACAATGTGCTAATGCTAGAATGCTGTGCTAATGCTAGAATGATAATGTGCTAATGCTAGAATGCTGTGCTAATGCTAGAATGATAATGTGCTAATGCTAGAATGATAATG